CGATACTAGAGACCGACCGAATTTCGGCTTCGGTTTCGGCGCCGAAAGTGGCCATTTTATCGCTTTCGGCCAAGTTTCGGTTTCGACCGAAACTGAAAAGTTAACTTTCGGCTTAATTTCGGTTTCGGCCGAAAGAGAAAAGCTAAATTTCGGTTTTTCTTCGGTTTCGGCCGAAATTGACTTAGACATTCGGCCATCCGGCCGAAAGTGACTCAGGTTTTCGGTCATTTTAATACTCAGTGAAAGTGATATTTAGAACAAATTAAGCGATCTTTAAGAACAATCTAAGCGATCTTTAATAACAAACTAAACGCTCTAATAGAGCAATCTTAACGATTTTTAAGACCGAACTAAATGATATTTAAGAGCAAAACAAATGATCTTTAATAGTAAACTAAATGATTTATAAGAATAAACTAAGCGATCTTTAACAGAAAACTAAATGTTCTTTAGGAACAAACTAAAAGATCTTTAAGAACAAACTAATCTATCTTAAGGAACAAAATTAATTATCTTTAAGAACAAACTAATCTATCTTAAGGAACAAAATTAATTATCTTTAAGAACAAACTAAGCGATCTTTATGAAAAAACTAAGCGATCTTTACAACAAACTAAGCGATCTTTAACAACAAACTAAGCGATTTTTAACAACAAACTAAGCGATCTTTATGAACAAACTAAAAGATCTTCAACAACAAACTAAGCGATCTTTAAGAACAAACTAAGCGATCTTTATGAAAAAACTAAGCAATCTTTACAACAAACTAAGCGATCTTTAACAACAAAGTAAACGATCTTTAACAACAAACTAAACGATCTTTAACAACAAACCAAACGATCTTTAACAATAAACTAAACGATCTTTAACAACAAACTAAACGATCGCTAACAACAAACTAAACGATCTTTAACAACAAACTAAACGATCTTTAACAACAAACTAAACGATCTTTAACAACAAACTAAACGATCTTTAACAACAAACTAAGTGATCTTTAAGAACAAATTAAGCGATCTTTAAGATTAAACTAAGCGATATTTTAGAACAATCTAAGCGATCTTTATGAAAAAACTCACCCATCTTTAAGAACAAACTAACCGATCAATAACAATCAACTAAAAGATCTTTAAAAACAAATTAAGCGATCTTTTAGAACCACATTTTTAGATTTAGAGACCCTGTTTAAAAAACATAATATTTTGCATTAATTTCCCCTCCTCCCCGCCCCCCCCCCCCAATTTTCTCCTACCATACTAATTTTAAAAAAAATTGTAAAGCAATTTAAATTACTTTTATATTAAAATGGTAAAATCCTAAGTATTCTTAGATCAAGGGTCTCAAACTCAAATCATGGAGGGGGGGGGGCACAGGAGGTAGTGTCTGAATGAGAGTGGGCCGCATCAAGTAATCCACAAAAAAGCGATTACAACTGTTACAATCTGCTCAACCTTTATAAATAGCAATACAATCATTAAGGGTTCTTAAGAACTACTCACTGTTGCCAGAAACCTGGCATACAAAAATATATAGAAACATTAAAAAGAAAAAAATCAGAATTAGACTAGTCGGTGAGATTCGACTGAAACCGTCGCGGAGAGTCACGTTACAGATATGAGAATGGGGGACACGGGCCGGCGCATTTACACTAAACTTTTCTGTCATGTAGCGGGTCGCAAAATATCGTCTTGCGGGTCACAAATGGCTTGCGGGCCACAAATGGCTTGCGGGCCGCGAGTTTGAGACCCCTAGATTAGATGTTTATTTATTAATATTCACGATTATCTCATTTTTTATAAAATGTAAATATTTATACTTTCCCACATCATTTTCGATGTATGCAGAATGTATGCGGGAACGAATTTCAAAGTATCTTAATATTTCATTTTCGGTTTCGGCTTCGGTTTCGGCTTCGGTTTCGGCTTCGGTTTCGGCTTCGGCTTCCGTTTCGGCCAAAATTCATTTTTAACTTTCGGTATTTTTCGGTTTCGGCCGAAAGTCATTTTTAAACTTTCGGCATTTTTTCGGTTTCGGCCGAAAGTCATTTTAAACTTTCGGCCTATTTTCGGCTTCGGCTGAAATCAGAAAATCACTTTCGGTTGGTCTCTAATTAATGGGAAGCCAAAAAAAAAGCTGAAATTCAACAAGACAAGTAGAAGCACTTATGTCACTCTCTTTCTTTGCAATTTATCCAAAGATGTTGCACAGTATTGGAAATTTTCAAAATATTTTTGTTTTAAAAATAACTAAACGAATGAATGAACATTCTCACCGTCATTCAATTGAAAATAATTTCTTCTGAATTCAAACACTGAGTATAAGGAAGTGAAATGGAGGGGGAAAAAACGGTTTCCAGAAAGCGTCTGACCACAAGCCGGTTATTTGTGTGAAAAGAGCCGGTTTCCAGAAATGATGTCACAACGCCGGCTATTGGTGAGAAAAGGGCCGGATTCCAGAAATGATGTCACAAGCCGGCTATTGGTGAGAAAAGGGCCGGATTCCAGAAATGATGTCACAAGCCGGCTATTGGTGTGAAGAGCGCCGGTTTCCAGAAATGATGTCACAACGCCGGCTATTGGTGTGAAAAAGGTTGGCGCCACCTTAAGGCGAACAAGGGCGCAACCGAGGGTGCAGAGCCGTCACCTAACTTTTTTAGGCCCCTAAAAATTAAAATTTTCATTCCTGTGCCCCTGCATTCAAAGTTATTTGTTTATGTATATTATCCCATCTCAAGTTTAGGTCCCTTTAAATATCCAAGGTCACCTGCAGACCCAGGGTTTGCAGATCCCACGCGATACCTCCTCTTAGAAGGTGCAGACTTCAGAATGGCCCATTAATGACCTCAGAGTAACGTTATTTCGCATAACTAAAGTTGTTATTACCTCGTCCTTCACCTGTTCCAACGCCATAGAAGATTAACTGGCTATTGTGACAGAGATTTAGATCAGTGGCGTCGCTATGAGGATTGGTGCCGCCCAGGGTGGGCCAAGCTTTTTACCGTCCCCATTCCACGAAAAATATCTGCAGTTGGCCTAAAATTGCCGCCCCCCCTTTTTTTTTTTGCACCCCACTTTCTACGCCACTGATTGCTATACGGAACTAGAGATATTATCAATCTTGGTAACGGAGCAAGCTAGAAACATATGCAAATAAACGGCTTTTTTCAAATTTTGAGGCTCAAGAAGATGTACCACAAAGCAAGTTTCGACTACTGTACGAAGTGTTAGAATGGCGCTACAATCCCTTGAAAAAAGTGATTCTAACAATGTCAACATAATAACTTCTTATTTGGCTTCCTATTAATATGATGATACATACCGTACAGAGGTGAAAATCTTAATATACCAGATTGATTCAAAATTGTAAGAATTTCGAAAAGTCATCAAATGTTACTGGGAACAAAGATTATTATGCTGAACAAAGATAATTATGCTCAAGTTCAGTGTTACGAACTTTAAAAAGTAAACGCCCAAAAGTCACTGCTGCCACAAGAAGTAATTCATTCATAATACAACAATAGCCGAAAAATGACGTCCCGAATATTTCTGTTTTCCTTGAGGGGTCCTTCTCACATTTCCAGTAGTAGTGTTGAGCGTTATCAGGGCGTACGTAACTTCGCAAATTCTAAAACGTATAAAACCTTATGTTTGCTCTACGATGCTGCAGAAAAGAATACCATAGTAATAGCAACTAAATCATGTGAACTTTTGATGTTTGCGAAATGGATACTTTTGTGATACGGTTATAAGTACTAAGATTTTGTTTGCACAAAATGATTTTTATTTATTTTATCATGACAAAAGCTGTAGAGTTGTATGCCTAAACGTGAAATGATTCCTTTATACATACAAATAGTCAGTCGGTGAACGCTTTTGTAGCCTACAGCATGTACTTAGTTGAACGCCAAACCACCCAATCCCTCCCCCCACCGAACTTGGTCAATTTTGTGGGTAATGATATTAGTAGGCCTATTCAGTCGAGATTTCCACAAGAATATTGTAAAGATTAGAACCTTGTTAATTATTCAATAAAGATATTAATAACAAAAAGATCAAAATTTAGCTAACAGATAAAAAATCTTATCATTTTCAGCTTATCATATTCATATTATCAAACCCAATTATTATTTTTTTTTAAAATGAATTTTAGTAGGCTTATATTTTTAAATTTTCTTTTATATTAATTGAATTGTAATCATGGGTGTATGGTTGGATGTATGGCTGTGCAAAAAATGTGTGATCTGGAACTTGTGGAATGGAGTTCAATACCCACTATTACTCAGAAAAGTACGTGTAACAATGTTTTTTCTCCCAACAAAAATTACATTCCCACCCCGAAAAAAAAAATAATCTAACATTAGTATTTTTTATTTTTCCATATTTATTTTTTAATATCCTGAAAAAAGTCAAGTGTAGGCATAAAACAAATTTAACGAATGCGTTGGCGTTGTTTCTATAAGTTAATTTCATTTAGTAAACACTTTTATCACAATAAGACTAAGCTATATGTTAAACTGAGTCTTAATATTTACAATTCTCATTTTAAAATAAAAGTATTCTCCTAACTCAGGGGTCCTTAAATAACAAGCCGTATGTCATTTCTGGCGCGCCTGGGGTCCTTAACATGGCCTGCATGGCCACCGCAAAGTATCCCCGAGTAGCAGTGATAAATATGAACCCAAACTTTGACCATCTCATCAGCCGAAGGCAGACCCATACTTTCCATTGAAATATTAATAAGTTTGTGTTGATTAAAAGCGTTATTCATTTTAAATAGTGTTTGCTTTTTATTTTGCACAACAATTAAGATGTGTGCAGTGTGCACAGGAATTCGTACATATTTTTAAAACTATAGTCCAGCCCCTAAAGTGTCTCTGAGGGTCAGTGAACCAGCCCATGTTTGAAAAGTTTGAGGACAATTGTCTTAACGCTCAAGGTATAAAAACGAATCTATTATAAGGCATAAGATATAGTAAAAACGGAAATGAATGGAGCCATTTCCTGAATATGGGATGCTACTCCTTTGTCAAGAGACGACAACGGCGGTGCTGTAGTTAACGTCTTAGCAGTAAAAATTAAGTAATACGTCATCCTCATTTGACAAGAAATATTTTAAAACATACTTGGCTTTTATACAAGTTTTTAAATCAATTGGTATGCATTTTTGGCTAATTTAATGGAGTTTTATTTGAAGTATTTTGTGATCAGTGATGCCTACCTGGTATTTTGGGACATTTTCTGGTGCAAAGTCACACAAAGCTTAGGCTTAAACTTAACTCTAAAACTTAAAGTCAAAGTCTTTAGTGCAGCTAAGTCTAAGAACAGAACCAGCTAAGTCTAACTAAGCCCTGCCTAAGCTGCTAAGTCTAAGTAAAAGAGTAAAAAGCATGCTTGATGATATGCCTAATTATTGTTGTTATGATAAATATTAATAATTGAGTCTACAAAATTAAAAGTAAATACTTTTAAATATATGCAGTTTAATTATTAACCCTTACAGTACCCGGCGCGTCTTTTTGCAGTGACCTAATTTTTCCCTGTGACCCAAGCGCGTCTATTTGCCACATAGAGGAGTATCTAATAAAAACACAGAAACGAGGATATAACCTTTCACCCCAGTCTCGGGCAGAATGATTATTTGTTAGGGGAATAGTCAAATTTTAATTTGCCTTTTAAATTATGAAAATCGACCAATTACTGAGTTTTTTATGCTGATCTGTATTTGTTGTTTCCATGGCGCTACCTAATCGCTATTGTTGATGGCGACTTACGCCCACTTGATGAAACCTATTTGTTCTGAAAATATTATTGAGCTTTGATTGGGATTAGAAGTGTTTTTTAAACACCCTTATCCATTTCTGAACAGATAATTCTCTACATGTTATTATCAATTATTTAAAACAAAAACGTTACAAAATAAATTAACAGTCCCATGAAATTTTGACTCGTTCCAAAATAATGTCTGGGCAACAGGGAATAATTAGCCAATTAATGGCCGGTACTGAGACAATAAAAGCAAAAAGTAGGTCAGTACTGTAAGGGTTAAGTAAGACCTGGTTAAACAGACAAAATAGATACTTTGATAAAATTTAAAAAAAATAAACTTATGGTATAGTTGAATAGAGTTAATTTTTTACAGAATTATAACACCAAAATCATATTTTTAGCTGTTGTAGTTTTAAAGTTATGAATTTTTTAAGTAGGTACGCGGATGAAGCTAGGGAGACTACTAAAAAATTTGTATGGGAAATAGACGTCTGCGCACGAAAATCCGAGTTTTTAATTTTTTTATAGTGGAACTATTTCATTCATAAAATAATTACTATATCCCAGAATTGTGTTCCTCTTCCGGCCTTTCGCTTTAGAGGACATCTTGGCCTACATTTTAATAAATTTCTTTTTCATTTTCAATCGGTCAGCTTTGAGAAAATCCTTGGTAAATGTAAGGCAACTTTCATCATTAAAATTAAGTCGAAGTATCCGGGAAATGTATTGATCTACATGTATGCCAATTTTCACAGCGATATGTGTTTTACGAGAGACGCCATCTTTCTATGGGTTCGCAGCAGGTCATGCAGTTGGCTCAACCTGATTTCGCCATGGGGTGGGCCACACCCCCTTTTTAATGGCGGAAGTTGCCGATACTTAGGAAATATAAATTTATTACCACTATTTACATCAAAATATTTGATAACTTGAGTTTCAGAATGCATTTTGAAGACATTTAAACTGGAATGTTCTAATTTTAGCTTTAACAACCCGGTAGAGTCCATATTATAAATGATCAGAATTTACGGTGTGTAACACGTTGTCATTGACAACCATTCACAGCCACTTGCATAATGGCTGTATCGTAGTACTACCTCAGAGTTTCATTCATAAGAGTTTGCAGTGTGCAAAAACTATTAAACCATTGGTCAGGGTAAGCTTTAATTAATTATTCATGTGCCAAAGTTGAAAGTTTAAACTAAGTCGACCCTAAACAGTATTTTAGTGATAAGGGAATGCGTTGCCTTATATAAAGTATATAGTCATTGTGCATGACGCGAACAGCGGAATGAGGTCACAAGATGTGGAGGTTTCATCCATAGTAAAAAATACCAAACGAACTCACACTTTAAAAATTTGTAGCTCAAAAACTACTTATGCTAAAAAGTTGATTCTGGTTTCTTTTTTTTATTTGGACCTTGTTCTAACGAACTGTATTATTAAAAAAATAATTTCAATTTTTTAAAAATTTATATTAAAGTACCTATTTAAAGTAAGTCCTCATTTGTCCTTTTTTAACATGTGACCCAATTCAACTGTTCTGGTCACAAGCTATATAACTCTAGTTTTAATTGACACAAATATGCATTGATAGATAATACAGAGTAAGATTTAATATGAAAGACATAAGAGTTGAACTTCTATACAAATTTTTTAGTGAAAGATGCCTTCTATTTAAAGGGAAATTTCAAAATATAGTTTGATTGAAAAATCCAAACAAATCAATGAAAATGTAGGCCAAGCTGTCTACTAAAGTGAAAGGCCAGAAACGGAACTCAAATATATGTCAAAAGTACTCATTTATTAATATATAGACACACCATTTGGAAAATTAAAAAGTAGGATTTTTCGGAACCATTCTCAGTTCCGATACACAAAAAGTAGTAATCTCCCTTGTTTTACCGAAGTACCTAGACAAAGCATAATACTAAGAAGTCGGGAAATGTTGGTTGGTGCACCAATCATTTCCCATGGCCACCATTTTGGTTGCTACCATGACATATCAAAGTTGTGCAAACCACCCTCTGCTAACATGGGGAGGCGAAAGAGAGAATGTGCTGTTATAGAAACCTACAGAGAGGAATAGGAACAAAATGTTAAAATGTAAAGAAATAATTTCAGCCGGTACATTAATTTTGTGGCGAACTAAGAAACTTTATTAATTGTATCCCTCTAGATATGCGTCAAGAAGTGCAATGACCTGCGGTTACATAGTTACACCCTGTTGTAAGGAAAGGTTTAAAATGAAGAAAAACAATACAAAATAATTTTTTTTAAATAATGAAAACCTAACTTACAGTTTCATATTAATAAAATATACTTATAATTATACACACTTTATTGCAGGTTCCACCCAAAAATAAAATCCAGAAGTTTTCAGAACTCAATACAATACCCATTTTTCAAAAGCCGGAAAATTTAAATTTTATAACTAACCACCTAATGAAATTATAATTTTAAATATTCTATCTGCATATTAATATTAAATATCAATAGTAACACTCCAAGAAAAAACAAAAAGGGGAGCATCCTACATTTAAACTCAAAGTTGTGAGCCGAACCAACATTAGCCAACTAAGTCTAATGCTCGCTTGCCTGCTGTGAAAGAGGGGTTTACTTTAGAAGGCAAGAAACATGCTCTTTATTTACTATTTACCACAAGTGCCTGGGTGAGCCATTGGGAATAATTGGGGTGTTCAGAGGGCACAATTTTTTATTGTGTATTATTTCATTATGTATTATTGAAATTAATTCTGACCGAAAAATGATCATTGATTGATATATTTACTAAATATGATTGAGTTGGTCACATAATGTGCAAGTGCGGTTCATAGTAAAAAGGACAAAAAATCTCAAATTTAAAAAAAAAAATTATAGCTAAAAAACTTTTCAAATTGATCTTGATTTCAATTTTGTAAAAGTTTGCTCTATACCAGGGTTTCTCAAGCTTTTCGTGGACTGGTAGACAAGTTTTGAAATGGCAAAAGGGAATAATCTTTTCTTTTTATTAAGACAATAAATATTCGTGTAGTGCAGACCGGCAACGTAAGGCTGACAGACTGGTGTGGGTTCCTGGACCATCAGTTGGGAAACATTGCTCTAAACAACTAATATTTTTGAAATTTTAGTTTTTTCTGTACAGAAGCCGCCAAGGCTACTTTCATCCAAATTTAGGCCCAGTGCCTTCAGCCTTTCTGGGAAAATGAGGATCATTGTGCTCTACCCACACCATATTATAATTAGGACGAGAACGCAACAGAGTCCATTAATTTATCTTGTTTTGGGAGATAGCAGACTTATCTATAAATTTTGGGGGTTAAAATAGAGAGTGTTACCCAGAGCATGATGCACCCTAAGCACAGAGATCTCTAATCAGGATTAACAGGAAATATTAAACTGAGTTTAAATCAATTTAATAATTATAGAGATACATTGAGTTTTCTAAAAAAATGATTTTAAGAAAAATCAGTGCTTGACAATGGATAGAACAAAAGGCCTATGTACCCAAATAATTGAAATTGATTTAAAATATAATACATTTTTATTAGAACTTTTTACCATCATTGTACTGAAAAATTTCACGATTAATTGTTTTTGTAAGTTAGTATGATCATCTTATTATGAAATATCAATGAGTCAATCAGTTTATTCATGTTTTTCTTATATATTTTAATTTTATAACAGAATTTTAAACTATTTTCCAGCATATTCGCTATACTCCAGTGTTATTAAGTGTCTCAGCCTCTACAATGGCTGATGTCAACAAACTCGTCTTTTCTATTTTGAAGTTCCTTGAGGATCAGAAAAAATCGGGCCAGCTTGATGATGAAGCAGCAGAAAGTTTAGAAGGTTAAGCTATATTTGTCTAAATTAACAAGACATAAGCCTATCAAAAAATTTATTTATGTTTTTACATATTTAGTTTAGCAATTCGTTTTACGGATATTGGTTTTCAAGTATTTTTATAATTTTATCAGAGATTAAAAAATTCATGAATGTAAATTTAGACTTTTTGAAGTCGCTACAAGAACAAATTTGATTGCAAATATTCATCTTAAAATGTATAAATACGAGCGTTGAGATTATTTAAATCAACCGACTTAAAAAATTGACTTAAATAGATTTAAATCAGACCAAAAAAAATCAGGATTTAAACCATTTGGATTTTAATTAATTTTAATTATTATTTATTTATGTAATCTATTTATAATTAAAGGCATTTACTAAACACAACTCAAGCTTGCTATTAAGTATTACATAATATATTATTTCTTAATATACAAAAACAAGTTTCCATAATTTAATAATTTTTACATTTAAAATGTCATTTTTATTGAACTTTTCATTTTTTATTTTTTTTACTTAAATATTGTGTTTTTGCCAATATAACACATGTTGTCACATGGAACGTGTTGGTTGAATGCCTTGAATCATACCTGAAACACTAGCCAATTTTACTAGCCATTTGTGAAGAAAACAGAGCAATCATCAATAAAAATATTGGAAAAATTGTAAGTAGCCTTGGAGTAAAGAGAAGCGCTGAAAAACTTTAGCAAATGCTTAAACGAACTGCCTTAGACCAAATGCAGAGTGACAGTTGTACCATTGGTGACCATGCAATGCTATGGAAAAACCTTCAGAAAGAATTAACTACCACAATAAGCAGGGATGCTAAGAAATGCTTGCACAAAAGAATTCAGCAAGCAATGACTTGAGGTTAATTTCTTGGCTAATATTGTACATCCTAAATACTGAGGTAGAGAACTGACTGAAAATGAAATAAAGATTGGGATGGAATTTGCAGCTTCAAAGAGTCCAGATTTTCTTCCACTTACGATTAATTTCAGAGCTGAAGCTTCACCATTTCAAAAGTTAATGTTCCAAGACAACATTGTTGAAGCCATTCAACTTTGTGTTTGGTGGCATTCTCATAGGAATCATTTGAATAATGAATTACTGAATATTGTTGATCAGTTGTTGACAGCTATTGCATCATCTTCTGGAGTTGAAAGAATATTTCATCCTTTGGTCTTGTACATTTAAAGATTAGAAGTCAGCTTGGGGTTGAGAAAGCTGAAAAATAGTTATCCTTTTCAAATTATTTAATCATTAAGATTTGGTGGAATCGAATGACATTGACCACTGAAAATATCACATTGATAATGATATGGATAATTTGAGTTTGAAAGTGTGAAACTGAATTGAAATTCTTATAGATCAGTTAGAGACTATGACTATCGTTGATGTTAAGCTTTTAAAGCTTTTTATTAAATTAAATGATTTGCTATTTCTGTATAATTTTATTAGAATATGAAAAGTTTCAATCTTGAAAAACAAAATCCTTTTCAATGGATTTATTTATGATTTTAATTTTTACATTATTATTTTTTACTAAAATCATGATGTAAAATCCAATTAATTTGTTTTAAAAATATTTAAATAGTATGACTGCATTATGTTTAATCTTTATAATAAAAAAAACGTGTAAAGAAATAGTTTTTAAAAAAATAAGAAAGAAAATGATTTAAATTTAAATATATTAAAATAAATAAATCCAATTTAAATTTTAAAGAATCTGATTTAAATTTAAAAAACTGAATTTTAATCAAAATGCATTATTTAAATAATATTAACTAAATAATGTTTAATTTTTATCAAAGTTAATATACTTCCAAATCTAAAGAAATACTTTTTCCCCCCTTTTTAAATAATTTTCAATTTAAAAAATTTGACTTAAACTTAAATCAAATAATTTTGATTTTTTTCTTAAAAGTAGGATTTTTATCAACCCTGATAAATACTTCGTTATATTTTTTTTCCATATCTAAACCCGATGGCTTAGCCAATATTTTATTCTAGATTTAAAAAAGAATGAATAAATAATACTATATAATATAAAGCATTTCCTGATAACTGTTTGTTTTTCTTGGCCTTTTGAAAGTTGAACTTCTTAAAAATTATGATTTTACGACCATTAAAAACTTAAAAATCTTATTTCTAAATCATTACAATAAATTACCTGTATTTTGTTTACAGTTGCTGTACAGTGTTTAGAGCAAGTTTATAAGATAAACACAGCTGATGAGGAGTGTGTGCGGAAGTTTTCAGTTCCTCAAAACTTATTGGATATTTTTAATGCTCAGCTCAATGAGGTTTGTACTGGGGAGCAGATTAATACTGCTTTTCAAAACACTTGGTTTGAATATTTGTAACTGTGTTAAAATGTAATTACTTGAAATTATAATTTTGGATTTAAAAAATTAATCATTAAAAGTGCCATATTTTACCATATTTTAACAATTTTAATTGTTTTGTAACTTTTTTTCTCTTTAAAAGACTGAATCAGATCTTGCCTCATTGTCATTACATGAGGCAACACCTGAGCAAAAAGAAGAAGCTGAAAAGCTTAAGAATAAAGGTATGAAGTGTTCTTGACTTGTATTGAAAAATGTCATATTATTTTTTTTATAAAACTGGAATAATCAATTATTACTTTGTTTTAAAAAAAGTCATCCCTGTAAGCTTTGGTTAGTATGAATTGAAACTTGGATAAAATAGTACCTGGTTCGTCAAACAAATTTTATTTTAAAAAATAATAAAAATTGCATAAAATTTAATGCATATACTTTTTCAAAAACTATTTCAAGGAAATGATTTTATGAAGTCTGAAAAGTTTTCTGATGCTCTTGAGAGTTATTCTCAAGCTATTCGGCTTGATGCAAGAAATGCAGTATATTTCTGTAACAGGTTTGAATCTTTCTCACCTTATTTTAAGTTTCCTGTATGATTCAGAATAACATACCAACGACCAAACAATAGATATATTTTTGGAAATTTCATTCCACCAATAAGTGTAACAATAAATTATTAAACCAAACAAGGATGTCTTTCTCTAACAGTTTGACTAAGAGAAAAATAAATATAATTAGACTTTTTGAAATTTGAAATACAATTTTTTTCTTGCTATCAATGGGATCAATTCAATATGCAAATATTGCAGGGCTGCAGCTTACAGCAAGCTCAATAAACATCAGCAAGCTATTGAGGATTGTAACCGAGCTCTTGCTATAGATCCAAGTTACAGTAAAGCTTATGGTCGCATGGGGTAAGTATAAATTATGGTTAAAATTTAAGAAAAGCTAACTTACAAAAAGTTAAAAAAACTAACACTATTACTATTACTATATTTTACCATTTAAAGCATAACTTTGCTATAAAATCTGTTTGTAGAAAAGATGTTTTTTTTGTTGTTTTTTTTTAGATGTTTCAGTGATTTACTCAGTTATAAGGGTTAAAACCTTTTTAGTTTAATTTTGGTTCATTATAAATAATGCTAAAATTTATTATGAAAAAATCACTAACTCTCCAAGGTGTTAACCTTTCAAAGGTGTTTTCTTTCTATCCCAGCATGTTTTCTTTACCCCTTTTATATATATACATTCATAACTGAAAGTATGTGTTTTAAAATATCACATTTGTAGTTATTTGATAACTTTTATTTTTGACATGAACACAGACAAGTAACTTTAGAAAACATTTTTGACATTCAGTACCGTTAACATAAAAATGACAAATTAAAAATTTCATCACAGCATTGCCTTTACCGCTTTAGAAGATCATGAAAGTGCATTTGAATGTTACCGTAAAGCCCTGGAGTTAGATCCTGATAATCAAAGCTATCAAAATAATTTAGAAATTGCAGAGCAGAAATTAAAAGAAGCTGCTGTTCAGGTTTGTAAATAGCTTTCACTTAAATAATTTTTGGGTATTAATCATTCATAAAGTGACGACTTGAAGTATAATTAATAAATTGAAAACAAATGATGGTAGATTTAAGTGGCTACATGGTTTTGTTGTTTTAGTGAAGTGATATGTTAAATCAGCCTTGTTAAGTATAGCTGGCGTTTTTGACTTTGTGAATTTTTGTCTTAACATTGAGGCCTCTCCATGCTAAATAAATAACATAAATGAAATCATGACACATTTTTTTAATTAAACATTTTTTAATGCTGGGGTATAAAGTCTTTTTTATATTCATGCTTTACAAAGGGAGCATAAGATAAAGTATTGCTCCTGAAGCTTATAAAAACTAAATGCCAGAATTAGAAATTTTATGTTACTATCATTTTGTTAATATTGTTGTATCGTACCACAATTATGAATAAAGGTTATGTGTTTGTTTTGCGTATATTGTTTTGAAGAAAAATGACTTCTTTGCACACAGTAAATTAGTCCATTAGATTAGAGTGTGGAGTTAGATTCTTTTGTGCGAATTAGATTTTATTTTGCTATTTAAAAATGCATTTCATGTTTTGTTTTCAGGCTGGGTTCAATGCTGGTCCTGCTGGGGGCCTTGGTGCTCTTGGTGGTCTAGGCAATTTGGACTTCAGCTCCTTATTCAGTGATCCAAATATTGTTAACATGGTAACACATTTTGACTTTCTTAAAAATACACATGCAATGTGTTTTTTAAATTTTTTTGTTAATTCTTTAAATTAAATGCATACCTTCCTCTATATTTAAAAAACACAATTAATTGTCTTATTTTCAATGCAGTTAAGAAATTTATATGTAATTTTTCTTCTGCTTCCAGTCACTTTGGCTTCATGTTATATTTTTTCTTATCAGGCAACAACAATGATGTCCAATCCTCAAGTGCAACAAATGTAAGTATGTGATTAAGAATAGGAAATTTTACATTTTGGGAGCTCCCAATTTAATTGTGTAAATTTAGAATCAAAATCAAATTATATTTACATTTCAATTCTTTAAATTAAGTCAATATGATTTTTAACATAAATTCTGAATTAAAAGTGTATACCTATTCAAGTTTTATGAAAAAATGAGTTTATATATATAAAAAAAAGGAGGGGGGAGTGGAAGAGGAAACACTACCTCCTAAAGATATTATAAATAACAAAATAATCAATATTTCTCCACTCAGTTATAATAATAGGACAAGACAGCAGTGCAAGATGTATATGGCTTATATAAACCAAAAATAACATGCATAGTGTATATGGCTTATATAAACCAAAAATAACATGCATAGCGGTTGATAAGCAGTGCTTAACTTAGAATTATTGTTTCATCCATTTTGGTAGTGGTAATAATTAAATAATAGTATTATGCTAATAATTTTAATGTTAGAATGTTCGTTTTTCAACACACGTAATTAAATATATACTTTATAATTTACAGGATGGCCAGTCTCGTAAGCGGATCTAACCCTACTAGTGGTGGTGGCCTTTCTAGTCTGTTACAAGCGTAAGACCATTTTTGATGTAGAGCTGGAGGGCATAAATTTTAATAATGCAAAATACCTTTAAAAGTTAATAAAAGTAACAAAAAGAAATAAGGTTCTAAATTGTTCATAAAATAAAACTAACTACTTATGGAAATGAGATCCATTAAGACAGGCCTGCACAACTCACAATTTAAGGCAGGCTGTAATACTTTATGAAAAACTTGTGCGGGCTGAAAGAAAATAGGACGGGAGGAAAGCTATTAAGAAAATAATAATAAAGAAGAATATTTCGTTACTTCGCAGACTGCAAGATGGGTGCTGGTGGGTCGTAGGTTGTGCAGGCCTGCACTAAGAAGTTGTTTATAGAGGACATCTGCAATAAATATGCATCTTTTTCACCCTTCTTGTCCCTATGTGTTCCTCTCTGTCTACTGGGCTTGCACACGATCGGCATAGCGCAGTGTACAATTACAATGTGAAATGGCAGGAAGTATGATGATAATAAAAAGAAACAAAGAGTACTAAATTTATATAAATCATTGGATTAAAGTAAAGTCAACCAGACCTGAGAATTAGAAAACATTTTTAAATGCCTAAATGCACAAAACTTTACGTTTGCTATTAAATAGCAACCAATTATTAGAATTAGAATGCTCTTCCTCATTAAATTTTTAACAACTTCTTGGTGGTTAAATAGATTATTTATGTTTCTCAAATCGAAAAATAGATCAGCCATAGAGGATGTCACTAAATTTAAAATATTTAATTTAAACATGCGGAAATACATGCAGTGGGCTAAAGCAGCATATAAAATAATAAAAAATGCAACATCTTTTACACCCCAGTTAGAAAACCTCTATTATAATACCTTCCAGCTTCAAAGTTATTATTCATATTTAACATTTTAATTAAAAAAATTGGAGGATGTATCATGAGTGCATTGTTTCATTCTTTGATTGTTAGAATAAAAGGAATTTTAAAAAATTAGTGGGTTTTTTTTTGGTCAATAATCAATTGAAATTACTTTCGTCAGATCCCAACAGATGGCGTCACAGATGCAACAAGCCAATCCCGAGCTGGTTCAGCATCTACGAGAGCACATGAGAGGTCAAAATCAAGGGTCTAATAACAACACCCAAGATCCACCTGAAGGCCGTGATGTATAGGACAACCCTTCTTTCTTTTCCCACTCACTACTTACACCAAACCTCAGAGCCATTTTTAAATGATCATCTGTGTTTTAACCGTTTTAGAATAAACAGCTGTGAAGTAGTCAGTCTGTTTCAAGAGTATTGGATGACAGAAAACAAGTTAGGGTGATTTCATAAACTCAATGGATTTTGTATACATGTTTTGTTTCTATAGCATTTATAAATTCAAGTACAGAGTAAAGGAATTCATATGAATTCAGTACTGGTATTGTAAATTGAATCTGTGGTAAGATATTTACCCAAGATTTTTAGGGAAAATATTCATCAAATGATCTGTCAGCAGTATTTTTTTTATGTTTTGTAATTTGGTCCATTTTGAGTCTTCTATTCCAAGTGGTATACTACCACTGTAAAGTTATAATGTGAAATTATGTCTGTTGTTCCTATTGATCAATAATCAACTAATACATTGACCTGTTATGATTCAATGTTGTAACATTGTAACCATTGATCAAATATATATGCTCAAAAAACTTTTGTAAAGACCACAAGATTTAAGGCGTCTGACCACGCATCAGTTGCTTAAAATTCTAGATGTTAAAAGATTTTTTTAAATTTTTTTTTGGCGGTTAAGGGATGTTTTGAAGTCACACACATTTATTATTTTCTAACAAAGGGTGGAAAGTGTTTCTCTATGTAATAATATTCATTAACAAATAATTGCCACTTGAACAGTCATTACACTCTTTAATTTGATTGATATGTTGTGCTGCCTTGTTGTTGAAACTATTCCAACTTCAGTGATGGGAGAGAATGGTGTTTAGATAACTATGGTTGTGTGGATTGGTTAAGTGCTTTGTGATCGTGTTTTTGAATGTGCCCAGCTGCCCAATCTTTGTAACACTACAAATTGTGATTTGTTTGCTAAGAAGTATTTACCGGTATTTATTTTTAAAATTGCATTATCAAATTGCTAAGAGATCCCTTCCAAATGAAAATAATAAATTTATGGCAGTTTTAGGATCAGGATTCGGTTGTGATTAATTGGATCAAAATATTGATATAATGATGTCTGTGACCCTACAACTTTATTACAGATGCTGTTATTCTCGTTACTTATACCGGTAACTTATACTAACGGTATTAGAAATGTTCCTATACTAGATGGCAAATGCAGAACAATCATAGTTTTATCATGTTGCAATATATTCCAAATGTTAAATGAAAGAATTACAATAAACAAATGCTTAGGAAATGGGAGGATGATTCCTTTATATTTTAAATTAAAAAATTGAAAATGTCAGCAACATACACTCTTGACCTGAGATATAGGATTGATGCAAATTCCTAAGCTCTTAGCCAGTGACTTCAGAATATTCTTGATACCATTGAAAATAAGCAAATATTTTTTCATTTTAGAGGCCACATTCTGTATCATTTAAAATGGGAAGGGTTTGTAAATGATTCTTCTCCCAATCCCAGCAACAAATTTATGTTTGAGATGTGTAAAAGTACAAATTTTTTAGCACAGGTAAAAGATATAGGTGTTCAGTTTTTTTATTCGTATTATTATTATCAGTATGCATGTTCATGGAAGTCTGTAAATGTGTCAAATCGAAGCTAAAAATATAATAAACAATGGAATTCTTGTTGCACATAGTAATCTCTTCAATGTTTTGATTTGTAAAATAATAGACTTAAAGCCACACCTGAAGTTTTATTTTAACTTTAAATAACCATCATACCTAAAATATATATTTTATGAAATTAATCTTTGTATAGTCTCAGTAAAGTACTATGATAAATCTTATACATTTGTACAGCCATGACATCAATGTTAAACTAATGCATTGGAGTTATAAATGCAATACTTGTATACATTTGTAAATAACTACAGCATTATGTAATAGGACAAATTTCTTTTGAGTTTAACAAAATTACATTCCATAAGATTAAGATAAAAGCTATTCACTATTCCTGTCATAAAATGAGAGTAAATAAAAAAAAACAGGACAAAATATTGAAATGTATCCATCATAATTTTATTTTAATAAATTAGAATTGGGGTTAAGACAGTATTATGTTGAAAATGTCCAATACACTAATAAATCAAAAAGGCTTATTTGTTTTCTTTTATACCTATTAAAAATTTATTACGGGTACATGTAGATTTAATTACCATATCTTAGAAATGCAAATAATTCCTCTAGATCTCAAACATTTAATTTTGATCTTCAGTTTTGGTACCCTATTAAAAACAATACAATAATAATAATTAAGAGCTCTCTCCAGCATGCAAAGTTTCAGCCATAAAGAGTTTGCCAAGACTTTGGGAAGCAAATTCACAAACTTGTTTGCAGTAACTGTCCATTTGTCCTGCCACCAATGTGCAATCAAGTCGTGGTGGGACAGGGAGTGGTTTAAACAATTTATTGATATCCTCCTCAGGAAGAGGCGGTTCGCCTCTTTGCTTTCTTTGAGTGTTTTCTTGTTCCTGGTTGAAGGATTGCATATAATAATATAATTATTGAATTTTATAATTTATAGCGTCCCTTAAAAAGTAAAGTCTATACGAAAGAATAGATCACCAGATCCACCAATGTCACTTAAGAACAAAGTTTTTGAATTATCTCAATTGATAAAAAGCATCACTGGTATTCTTGAAAACAAGCTACATGCTTTCAACTAAGATCTATATATTTTTTAAAGTAGAAATTTGTCTTAAACCACCCAGATCAAAAAAAGAATCTCTTAATGGAAACCATACCCTTTTCATGAGGTGCTGTTGTTTGGCCTGTTGCTGTCTAAAGTTGTTGCGTTGGTAGTTAAGATATTTATTGGTGTCCATAGCAACATCATCAACACACTCCATCAGCTGTCGTAAATTCTTTTCAAGCATTGAACTGAAAAATTAAAACTTATTGTCAATTTTTGTTCAGTTTGAGGTTAGTATTCCGCTTCTACAATTTATGACAATAAAGTCTTCTGGCACATTAAAATATCTACTTTAATAACTACAAAACAAACTACAGATATGTTTAAAGCTTTTGAGTTAGACAAGTTAATAAAGCAAACATAAAAAAAAATCAAAGTAAAAAAGGAGTTACATCCGAACAGAAAGTAATGGTAGTTAAGAGATTCCAAAAATACCAGGACTCAATAGTTGACCATCCCAAAACTAAATTTATGTTTGCAAATCCAGCAATTTACCTTGTGCCAAGATCAAGTGCAGAGAACTTCTGCTCCTTTCTTGTCTTATCTGCCAGTTCACAAAGCAAAGCATTGACCAGATGAGAGTTTCTCAAAACTATTGGTATCTCTTCAAACATTGAGTCAAAATTAATGTTGTGTTTCACCATGTTTTCTGGCGTATAGTCTTGTTCCTTATAAAATTTCATCATAGCTGGAGTCAGACGATAAGCTTTCAAGGTCAAAAATCCTTGTGTTGTGCGCAATGGATCTGCAAAGTCAGATAAATTAAATATATAAATAAATCACTATGGTTTCATAAAATTAAAAATTATAGCAAAAACCTAACACAAGTATGATAGAAATAATTAGCAAAGATGGTTACAAAACAGTATTGTATAAACCCACATCATCCATATTTAAAAAAAAAGTTAATTAAATTTCATGGGCAGTGTGTCACCTTATTTATGCTTACATATAATTCCACATAATATGCATTTGTTTTAATAATCAGGTTATGGTAATTAAGGAATTTACCGTAGATCAAGACAACAGACTCCTCTATAGAATGTTGGTAGTTGAATTGTGAGTCTAGAAGGGCACGATTGATAAATGAACCAAAATAAGTGCTCTGATACCATCCAACATGCAGATGATCTACATTTACATGGCGTAAATTTCTCATCATTTCCATCTGGTACTGAACAGACACTGCCAACAAAGTTTGAAAAAGATTCAATATTAGATTGCTTAGGTTAAAATGAATAATGTAAACAAATAACACTCCTAAGCTTAATAGGAACTTTTGCTACCGTACTTGCTTAGTTGTTTAAAATAACCTAAAATATAAAAATCATCCCTTGAAAAACATCCAAGAAGAAAATGAGATAAAAATTAAACATTTTAACACAAAAGATGTAAAGTTTAGTGACTACCCATTGGCGATATAAGCTTAAAATATTTGATTGACGATTAAATACAACTACACAACCATTACCTGTATCAAAATCCTCATCTTCATTGTGTTTAGGGAAAGGGAAACAGTTAGTGATCTCAAGTCTGTTGTCTACAACAAGTCCTAAAAGAACGCCCTGCACTAGATCAGTACCACCAGCACCTTCTTCATGGCTATGCTTGATTAACTTCAGAACAACCTAGAAAATATATTAGTCACTAATTAGTAATTTTAGAAAAATTAACTTTTATGTTGACTAGGGCATATGTCGATTACCAAATATTTATTGGCAGCTGGAATATAAATAAACCCCTGGGTTGCAAACGATTAAAGAAAAAAATAGGGAAACATTAATTTGTATTGGGTTCAATGTTTTTTATTTATTGAAAGGATAATTTAAAATGGCTTATCCATCTTCTCAAACTAGAATGCTCGGTGAAACTTCTCTTACCTAATGTGTATGCATTATATTTATCCACAACTGAACTAGATATGTTTTTGAATGATTCAGGTTACTGACACTAGATATGAAAAGAGCCAGATTTATTAATATGCAATAATACAGCCTAAGCACAAAAGAATGTGGGCAGGGAAGGGATGATTAAAAAAGAGATCATTTTGGTTTTTAGAAAATCATCTTGCAATCAGGCTGTCTAGTTTTAATTAAAATATAAGCACTTCACTCTGGCTGTAAATGTAAGTAAATAGTGATATGCCAAATTTGTAAAAAAATTTCAGCTCTAAAATAAGTTTGCGACAGGTTCATTCGGCTTGGATCGTACTCAGTGAAATTGAGTTTGGATTCAGTCAATAGTAGGGTTTGATTTTTGTGTGCTTGGTGGTACTGATTTTCATCTCTAATCAACATTCTTATGCCTACACTGTAGTACATGATTATGAATACATCACTCATGAGTCATTGGGTAAATCAGTTTTCTGCTAGCTTGTAAACATGGCAGAGTTACGTACCCCTTGTTCAACTTTTTGTCCAATTTAATATGTAAACATTGCACATGTGTTTGTAAAATTTCCTTGTTAAATAGGTTGTGTGATGTATCATTTAAAAGAAAAGTGGACACTGAACAATAATGTATCTTCTGGAAAAGTATATTAAGTAGAATTAGGTGAGAGTACTATTTAATTTTTCATACATTTCATCTACCAAAATGGGCACATAAAAGTTCCCCCAACCTATCCCAGAAATTTTAATAAATCTTCAAAACAGTCACATGGGTCTTTCCTCTCTGGATACCATTTTCAAGATGGCAGAAATTTCCTAATTTCCATCTCAGCAAGTCATTTTTTAAATCTTAAGTAATCTGATAACTGGTACCAGACCTGTTTACCTCTAGGCTTTCGTCATAGTAGCTAAGTTTTTAAGCCTTAGACTACGGTGGGCCTAAAAAAACTAGGGTTTCTGGAGTTTTTTTGTTTGGTTTAATTTTAATTTAAAAAATAAATAATTGGGGTGGTTTCAATAAAAAGTCACAGCAAGTTTTGTGTCAACACCATAAGCAATAACCCCAGGGGTTCGGTGAGTCAGTCTCAGGGGTTTGGCGGAGGTCCAAATAAAATCAGAAAAAAAATCATATTTTATTTTTCCTATTAAGAAGGGTTCGGTGAATGAAACTGGAAGAGTTTAGTACCTCCAAAAAGGTTAAGAACCACTGCAACAGAATAAGAATAACTGTGATTGGCCTTTGTGGTATTAGACATTTTTTCATCCTTAAAAATTCTTATAATTCTTTATGTTAACTTACATAAGCAGTTGAGTGGATTTCCTTAAACAACTTGTATTTTGATTGCAAACCAGCCCCCACCCCCTTGACCAAACTACTATTTGGAGCTTGAAACTATATTTTTTATAGCTGAAAACTATGCTGACACTAATCCAGGGGTAAACAGGTCTGCAGTACTAAACAATGTTAAAAGCACTATTTTAGATTTTAAGTCATTTGAGGTAAATAGTTACTAAAGTTGTCATATAAATAGAAATTTCTTTTTATTCCTTTATTTAAATAGTGAAAATTTCAATGAAAATTAAAAAAAAAAAAAAAAGGATGTGGGCTTTTAGGATTCACAAATTAAACAAAGACGTGGATAAAAATGGTGGAAGAAATGACAGATTCATTTAAATATCTGTCACCTAAAAAAAAACTAAAGATTGATCTCAACAAATGTACATTTCTACAAAAAACCAATGCTTCACTTAGAAGTAAGAATATAGCATTGAAAGAAACTTTAAATAATATATGCAAGAACTCGTGCGTCTACTATAATATGAAAATTTTACATTTTTTTTATCTCATGGTGCTCTTGTGGAAATAAAATTAAATTTTATTAAAGACACACAAATTCACCCTTCAATATGCTATTTAATATTGTCCCCCTTTTCAATACAAACAATTTGATATAAATTACCCTATATTTTGGAGAATATTTTTCAAGCTGTGTTCATTTTCTAAATGAAAATATGTCAGCCATTTTGAATATCAACCCTTTTGGATGACTGTGCCAATCTATTGACCCGGGGTCGAATGTCGAAATAAAAAAAAAAAAAAAAGGCAGATCCACCGGTCCAATAATTCAAGCCCTGTGACTGGCTTGCTGGTCTTCATACCAGCTAATCAGATTGCTTCTTACATTCACAGCCGATCCTGGCATTTTAATAGCAGCCTCCATTTATTGTTTACTAGCTTTTGTCGTGTTTAGGAATTTTTTGCTTGTTGCAAATTCCAAAATGTCTAACTGCAACACTGCTCAAACTATCCTTAGTCAATCTGATTTCTTACTGCCTAGCAGAGAATCTGACACTGATGAAAACAACCACAAAAGTAATGAAGACGATCAAAACCATGATGTTGATGATAATGTTGTGAGCCCTTCGTTTAGGATTAGGGGTCCTGAACTGGATAAGAGATGACCTCTATGAATTTTTAGAGCATTATAATGTGGTCATTGCCAGGGCGGAGGTGGAAGATAAGCATCCACTCCTCTAGAAATGCCCTATAAGGCTTGCGTCTCCTAATGCCTCTGTCAACCGAAATCCAGCTCCTGTCCTTCAGGTGCGGCTTCACAAAAAAGCCAGGCGGACCATGTTTCTACTAATAGGAGAAGGGGTGAAGGCGGTCAACTGGCGCCTCAAAACCAGTAGCTTCGGGTAGATGAGACTCGTAAACCAAGGCGGG